GGAGAGCTTCCTCCTGGGGAGGTCGTCGGGCAGGGAAGGCTCTGGTAATGTTAAATTGGTCATTAAACATCAACTGCAGTTTGGGCACAGAAGAACGAAATAGCCTTTTTTAGCAAAGATGTAAATGCCATGTGTGAAGCTCATGCAAGGATTTCGGTTTGGATAGGATATAGAGACCATGCAAAAGAGTATCAAATGGCACAGGAAGAAATAAGGAATGGGGGAGATGTTGCAAGGTTTTAAATACCAGCCCGAGGAATTTGGACGTCATTCAAAAATGGTGAGTGGCACTATCAGAAGAGTGATGTGATGAAGTTGTACTTCAGAAAGATTCTTGGTGACTCTGCAGGAGCAATGAGGAAATGAAATAAGGAGAAGAGGAAAGGAGAGAGAATGAAGTGTAGGACCAGATCAGAGACGTGGAGAATGGGAAAGAGGGAGCAGATTCGGAAGCACGGACTGAAATGGCCCTGACCTGACTCCCACAACGTGGTTCATGTGGTTCATGACCAGTTAGCAGGCAGGGTAACACTCTGTAGAAGGAATTAGGGAACAGTCGCAGTTGCCCGTCTTTTCATTCTTGTGTTTTTGATATTCATTTTTTTTTTTTTTTTTTTTTTTGTGAAACAGTCTCACTTTGTTGCCCAGGCTCAAGTGCCATGGCATCATAATTCTTAGCACCCTCAAATTCTTGGGCTTGAGTGATTCTCTTGCCTTAGGCTCCTGAGTAGCTGGGACTAAAGGTGCCACCACCACGTCCAGCTAGTTTTCCTCATTTCAGTTGAGAGGGGATCTCACTTTTGCTCAGGCTGATCTCAAACTCCTGAGCTCAAGAGGTCCACCCACCTCGGCCTCCCATAGTGCTAGGATTACAATCTAGAATTAAGTTCCAAGGCAACTGAATTCTACAGGACATAATGTAGAACTACCATACAAAATCCAAGAACTTTTAATAATCATGCCAAAGAGAGGGAAGAAAAACCTGTAAACATTATGTGAATGATTCATCCACATGAGTTATAATGTTATTTATTCAAAATTTGTTATGAGCCTAGCACTGCATTAGAGGTTGGACCAAGAGGAAAACCAGGAAGGATGAGACAGGGTCTCTGGCCTCAAAGATCTTACTCTTAGGTAAGACATGGAGACTGGTGAGAGTTCAATGCCACCAAAAAAAATAAAATAAAATAAAAAGAGAGTGTGGGGCGGCACCTGTGGCTCAAAGGAATAGGGCGCCAGCCCCATATACCAGAGGTGGCGGGTTCAAACCTGGCCCCGGCCAAAAAATAAAAGAAGAGAGAGAGAGAGTATAGTAAAGTATTATAACTGAAGGCACAAATGGGAATTAAAGAGTGAAAAGGAACGACAGAAGAGGTGAAAGGAAGCTCATCTTCTCATGTGAGCTCGGGGTACTGAGAGCGCACTCCAAGGGAGAGAGCTTGAACTGAGACCTGAGGCCAGGGAGACTTTGGATGGCTGGACAGGTCATTCCAAATCTGACTCCATCTTCTCCAAAGGTTAGAAGGTGAGAATAAGTATGAGGGAGAAGCAGGGGGAGCAAGACGGGTCGGGGGTTCATGTAGGATGCGTGGTAGAGTTGGACCCTGCTGTAAATCTTGGGGCTAGGATGAGGCTTCATTCTCTGCCCACTGTCCACCAAAGTCCCATCCAGTGCAGAACATAAGGAAAGTGGAGGATTGCTGAGGGAAGATACTGGGGAAAGGAAATTACTAGGTTATTCAAATAACCCTAAGTCTGGGTATTCATGCCAGGAGTAGGAGAGTGATGATAGGGTTACAAAGGAAAAGAAAACAAAATTAAAAAAACAGGAAAAGACATTTCTAAAGAAACATACTGGGTTTGGATGATAGATGACGGGTCATAAACCTAGTTGCTAAGAGATTCCCCCAAAGACTGGGCCCCTTCTCATACTTCTGAACTGTTCTGAGTCAAAACAGAGCTTGTTGACTTGGAAGGCAGATTCTGGGATCTGAGATGCCGTTCTCATGGCCTCTTCACTATTTATGTCTGTTTTCTCTGTTTCTATGAAATTCATTCGTTCCTCAACAGCCAAGGAATGTGTCAGCCAGATCGGAAAACATCCACAACTTTCTTTAATGAGGGAAGAAGGACTAACTCAGGTCACTTGGTTGGTTTGGGAACCACAGTATTCAGCAGACCACCATGGCCCCATTCCAGATGCCAAGTAGATGATACCTACTTTGCCCACGGATGAATCACTGCTCTTTATTTTGTGCGAGGAAATATGTAGGCCAGGCTGTTCTTCATCCAGGATGAGGGCAGACCATCCATCATCAAATCAGTGTTTCTGGGAACCTACTGTGCTCACTCCCTAATGAGGGTTGTCAAGAAAATAGCCTTGAGGAGAAGGGATAAGGAATGACCGTGAATAACTGGTCATGTTTTCTAAAGAAAAAAAAAAAAAGAGTGGCTGAGATAAATGTCTGGGCAAATGATGCATTTGGAATTTTCCCAGTGAACTAAAAGCTAAATAGAAAATATTTTAGAGTTCAAGGAGGCAGAATGCAATGCGAGCCTTAAAGGACACTGTCTTCACAGGCCTGGACCTACTGTGCTGCAATGCTAAATTGTCACATTAACCACATGCAGAAGGGATTAGCATCCTTATGTACAGAGGAGAAAGCCAAGTTCAAGGTGATAAAATAATGGTCAGTAGGAAGTTAAGCCACAGTTCAAACCCAGCTCTGTCTGACTTCCTGCCACACTGAGTCTCACGACATACTAGAAAGAGTTCAGGTTTTACTGGTTCTGTTTTGTTTTGTTATTCTTAATCAGAAGACTTAGATTCAAGTCCAGACCCCACCAATCACTGATCCCTAAAAGCCAGTCACTCACATTCCCCTGAGCCTGTTTCCTCTTTTATAAAATAAGATTGATAATAATAAAACGCACCTCCCAGATGTGAAAAAAGACCACCAAGGAAGGGATCTGAAGGTTCTTTGTAACCTGTAGACTGAAGTGGGTGTTAAAGGAGTTATTATTTCTCTCTCTTTGTTGTGGTTGGAAAAGACAGGCTTCCCAGTGCTAAGATGGATTGTGAGGCTTACTTCATGCAGCTGTTCTGGGCATCCCCTAATGACGAAGTAAATTGGACAGATACAAATTTCAGCCAGTGGACTTTTGTTTGATTCTGAGACTCCTGTGTCAATGGCAAAGCTTAAGAGATATCGTATACCTATGATTCCTAGATCTATTTTTTTACATTTAACTTTTAATTGTCACATACACTAAATTTTATATATCTTAATTATTTCTAATTATTAAAAATGTAAATATATGTTTTAATAATTTCTTAATATTAAAATAGTCTTATGTATTTTAAATAATGTAAATTATATAATTATTATAATTATCCTATAGTAATACTTGACATGCATGAGTGCTTATTAGTACTGCATACTATGTCAAAGGAATGTTTTATTGTTTTACACTTTATTTTTTTAGAGACAGAGTTTCACTCTGTCACCCTGGGTAGAGTGTAGTGGCATCAACATAGGTCACAGCAACATCAAACTCTTGGGCTTGAGCAATCTTCTGGCCTCAATCTTGGAAGGCTCAATCTTTAGCCTTCCAAGTACCTGGGACTACAGGTACTTAATTGGGCCAACCACGACATCCAGCAAGTTTTTATATTTTTAGTAGAAATGGAGACTCGCTCTTGCTCAGGCTGGTCTCAAATTCCTGAGCTCAAAGGATCCTCCCACCTCGGCCTCCTGGAGTGCTAGGATTACAGGTATGAGCCACCTTGCCCGACCAATTTGCATACAATTTCATTATCACATCTTATTTATTTATATAGAGCCAGGGACTCACTATTGGCCCAGGCTGGAGAGCAGTGGCTCTTCACAGGCAGGGTCATGGCGCACCATACCCTCACACTCCTGGGCCCTAGGAATCCTCCAGCCTCAGCTTCTTGTGTAGCTGGGACTACTGCTGCCTGCAGCCATGCCCAGCTACTTGTCCCTATTTTAAAGTGGAAGAAACTGAGTCTCGAAAGTTAAAGTAACTTCCCGAAGGTCTCACAGTCAGAAACTTGTTCCAAAGTCCATGAAGCAGGACTGGGGAAATTTCCAGAGGAAACAAACCTAGGCCAACCTGGAAGCAGCGTCGCCATCCCGAGAACTTCAAAGATGCAGTTGTCCCACTTGAAGGATGATATTTATGTGGAGGAAAAGATCACATTCTAATAAGACAATATATAGGCAGTAAGCAAAGAGGAATAGACCAGAAAATAATAGAACAGAATCACCTCTGCTCAGACCACGCCTGTCTGTAGCGCTCTGTTCAGAATACCCGTTGGAGAGCAGTTCATGGGGGCACGGTGCTCAGAGGTGCTCAGAGGTCCTCGCACATTCAAACAAGCTTAATCCGAGATGGCCAGTATCCACGACTGTATACTCCTAACAGACTAGTAGCGGCTTTGTACAAAGTGACCGAGGCACTGCCTCTGGATTCTTTGAGAAAGAGTTTCACTATCACTCTTACAGTCAGCACAGGTAAAGACTAGGAAAAGAGCCACCTACAAGAGATGTGTCTTTTGTCCCTGTAAAAGACAAGGAAAAGCTTTTCATCGTTCCCTGTAATTCAAGGAACATTTGTAGGAAACAATACAATCCCGACTTGAGGCAATCTCTCCCCTTGTCCCACAGTGTGATAGTGTGGTAAACCCAAGACAACCAAGAGACTTACTGTCTCCGACCTCAGTTTCTCCCTCTGCAAAATGGGTTGTTGTGAGAATTCAATGAATTAATATTGGCAAGATGCTTGGAGCAGTTCCTGAGGCATAGTACATTTTATATATAAATGTCGGTAGCCCACCTCCATGCCCAGCTGATTATTCCTATTTTTCTTGCACTCTAGTTAATTGTCTGCATAACTTATCTCCCCAATTGGTCAGGGAGCGTCTGTGGGTGACAGATCAATTCTTTAAATTTTCTGTATTCCCAAGCATAGTATCTGACACAGATGGACTCACAATTAGGGGCTTTTGAACAAGTTATTGATTTTTGATGATGCCATGATGTATACTGAAACCCCTCTCCGCAACAATCAAAATCTTCCTAATCTTAGCACAGAAAGTATACCAACATTGGTATTGGCATATATGTCATGTGGGTACCAGAGCATATCCTACAGGAATCAGGTGCGCCATCATCTCTGTTACGCAGGTGCCGATCTGAGCCATTAGAAGTGAGATGCTTTCCTTGTGATCACACAGCACGCAGGGGAGAGGCACGCCACACAGTCTGCCCTCTGTATTCACACATTCTGCACCTGTGGATTCGACCCGCCACAGACCAAAAACACTCGAAAAAACTTTAATAAAAACAATACAACAATGAAAATGCAAATAAAAATACAGCACAACTATTTACCTAGCATTTGCATTGTATTAGGTACCTAAGTAATCTAGAGATGATTTAAAGTATACTGGAGGACACGCATAGGTGATATGCAAATTCTATGCCATTTTATATTAGGGACTTGAGTGTTTGTAGATCCATGGGGATCCTGGACCCAATCCCCGTGGACACGGAGGAGGTCTATAAATATATTTCCAGAATGGATTAAAAAATAAGCTGTTTAAACCCTGCATATTTAGGCACTTATTTGGATACTGCAATAAAAAGAAACCAGAACAATTAGGAATTTCTTTTAGCAGTCACCCTGTTTTAAAAGGTGACCTCAGCTACAAAAACCAAGTTAAATTGCTTTAGCATAATCTATAGATCTGTTTGTACTCCATCTCCCCATCTCATTTCCTACCCCTCTAATCAACTTCATGTTATTCCTGACATCCATGGTGTGTATCCAGGACCACAGATATTCTTTTACGGTGTCACTTGATTTTTAAGAAGCTTGAAGTTGCTAAATGTTCTTAATAGCATTTACTTTTCACTTGAGTGGCAGTCCAAGCTAACCTAAGTTTTCTGTTTTCCCCCTTCCTCTTTAAAAACAAACAAACAACAAAAAAAACCTTTCCACCCACCGCGTCCTATCACAGGAGTCCTGGAGAGGGAACGAGCTCGACGTCTCATTCACAACTACAATCACATTTACAACCTGTCCCTGAGCCCTCGGAAAATCGACCAGGCCTTGCGGAGATTTCGTTCAGGAGAAGATATGCTCCTGGAGCCAGCTCTGCGGTACTTAAAGGAGCTGTGAGAACAAGCCCATATTGTGAGAGCAGACGTTTCCCTGTCTCCTTTCTTACCTAGACTGTCTTACCTACCTGTCTCTCCCCAGCCCGAGTGAGGGGCACAGGCGTTGTCAGCGCTGAGGCCGCTGTCGCTATGGTAGATGCATTTGATTTGGGCTTGGTTTCTGGCTATCATGCTTGCTCATAACAGCTCATGATGACCAGGAAAACTAGGTTTTCTCTTCTGATGTGGCAAAAATCCAGTCATTTAAAATTTCCTCTTATGCTAATAAAGCTTATTATTAATATTGCATGTCTGATTTTTTTCTACCTTGGTAATCAACCTATGTTTTTGCAAATCCCACAACTCCATATAGTAAAAAAACATGATAAATTCTGTGAATTCTCCAGTGCCTGGTATATAGTAGTGTAAACACATCATTTTTGGATTTTTTTTTTTTTTTTTTTTGCAGTTTTTGGCCAGGGCTGAGTTTGGAACCCACCACCTCCAGCATAGGGGGCCAGCACCCTGCTCCTCGGAGCCGCAGGCGCCGCCCCATTTTTGGAAGGTTTTATACCTTCCCCTAGTCATTATTCTAGGAAGGACTTCCCCATTATAAGAAAAAGCAAAGTATTAACAATGTCTTAATACTAAGTAGTAGAGGAACAATTTCAAATGAGGTTTTCTGAATAAGTCCATTACTTTCTGCAGTAGAAAATTAGACAATGCTTCACTAGGGATGTTTTCCAAGGGTTCTGAATAGAAGTTTTAAGAAAGGCCTCCTAGGACCGGGGATTTGGGGAATAGGTAGCATCTTCTACTGTCCTTGGGCAGGAAAATCAGGTGACACTTTCCATCAGTTCCCACAGTTCTTCTGTCCTGAACATCCCTCAACCTTGTTCCTCCCACATCACACACATTCACACACACACACACACACACACACACACACACAACACAGATCAGAGGCAGCATGAGCTCCCTGAAGGAATAGGGGCCTGGGGCTTCAGAGACGAGGTGTCCCTAGGCCCCTCACTAACCAGGATACTGGCTGGCGAGCAGGTAATGAACTGTCAAATCAGTTGGGAGACAGAGTGAGCAAGTTAGGTCAAGGGAAAATCAAACAGAAAGGCCTCCGAGCATCCCTTTTTATCCATTTTATATAGAGGTGTAGCTCACGGAATCTTAGGAACAAAACCATTTGGATTCACTAAAATAAATGTTCTTTACAAGTCTTCTAGCCTGACCTGCTTTAGTTTATATAGTCCCTGAATTACCCAGAAAAAAACTGACTTGAGGCAGACTGCCTACCTCTGTTTTTCTAGAACCCTTGGGCCTGCTAGCTGCCTTTTAGGTCAGA